TTGGGAGGTTGAGGACAGGGGATTTCATGAGCCTAGAAGTTCAAGACTTGCCTGGGCAATGTAGTGACACTCTATCTCAAAATAAAACAAAGCAAAACAAAACACTTTTCTCCCAAAATATGCTTACTCTAATTTGAATGATACTTCCACCGTGAGTCAGCAGCCGACCCAATCTGACAGAGACATCACCATTCTATGGCTGCCTAGTGTATAACACATGGGATATGAATTGCTTCCTGAAGCCAAGGAAGTCATGAATCCACACTTCATACCTGTGTGTGTATATTTTGGCCTGGAAAAAGTATATATCATTTTTACTTTCAGATTATTGGACACACAGGTCACCTGTCCTCTATGGTGTGGGGGCTGGGAAATGTGGAGCATATGGCTATTCAGGAAGCAGCAAATGTCTCTGCAATAAAGTAATAGACAATGAATAATAGAGAAGAGAAAACATAAAAATTAGAAAGAAGGCAGTAAAATTGGAACATGTATGCATAGAAGAGTTATGCATAACAGAAATCAAGATTAAGGTGGACTAAAATTTTAAGTATATAGATTTAAATAGTATCTTTTATACGATAAGCAGCCTGGATATATTAAGAAAAATAAACTTTAAGGTAAAAGCAATATTAGGGATAAGTACATTATTGCTTACTGATGAGAAAAATTCCTAAAGAAGGCAGAATGAGTCTATCTCAGTTATCCATTGCTCAACAAGAAACCATGTCGGAAACTTCTGATATAAAATATTAATGGTTATTGGGTTGCTCAACCAGTCAGCTGAGTTGTTTGGGGATCATTAGTGTGGCTGTATTATTAGGGAATGTGGAGATCGTGTAAAGATCAAGTAATGTGGGGACCGTAACTCATCAGGGGACATAACTCACTTAGGAACACCCAGTTTCGCTTAATCCATGTGCTTTGTACCTTATTTGGGATGGCAGGAACAGCTGGGGCTGCCCAAGAGTCTCTCATACATGACAGCCACTTTCCTTGCATAGTAATTCAGTGCTCCAAGAGAACAAAAACAGAAAAGCAGACATTTCCAAGCTTCAAGGCATAGCTTTCCTTCTCCCTCATTCTATAGGTTTGCAAATCAGGAGTCCAGCTAGGTTCAAGGGCAATGAATATGGACTTAATGAGAAGAACAGCACACAAATATGGAAGGAATTATTATTGGGCATCTTGGGAGACAGTCCACAATCTCTGATCAAAAACATTTACAGTCCTTTTATTTGAGAAATAGACTTACCACCTTCAGAGTTCTTCTAAAGACTCACACAAACATGATAATAAGAATGTAAAACCACACTTTGCAAGTTCTGTGGGATAGACACAGACAGAAATTGACAAGTTGAATTTTTAAATATACAGAAAAATACAAAGAGCCCAAAAGAGACAAAACAATTTTCATAAAGAAAAGAATTAGATGACATAAACTTTAGATAATAAGATTTATTATAAAACAGCAATAATTAGGACCATGTAGTACTGGTGTGAAGATAGACAAATAGACCAAAAACCTGTTTCCAGAAACAGACCCACCCAGTTGCTGGTTGTATGACAAATACAAAGATTCTCTGAATTGGAAAATAAATCAATTTTCAATAAATTTTCCTCTAAAAAATCAGTTGCAATGATATTATAGATATGAAATAAATAAAGTTTCTGGAAGATAACCAAGGAAAATATGTTCAAGATCTTGGGGAGGACAAAAATTAATGGAAGGAATTATAAAAATATTTAATGAGAAAGGAAAAGATTGTTAAATTGGATTATATTAAAATTAGAATGTTTTTCATCAGAAGGTACTATTAAACAGCAAGAAGGGAAGCCACAGATGGGGAGAGACATTTGCAATATGCACATATAACAGAGAATTGTTACAAAACACAAAGACTGAAAACCAGTGGGAAAATTGGAACAGATTTGAACAAGCATTTCATATAAAAATAATATCTAAATCACCAATGAGAATATGGAAGAGTGCTGAGTCTCATAATTCAGCAAGGGCATAAAATTAAAACCATATTGAGATGAGCCCAGCAAAACGAATGACTAAAATTTACAAGACAATAGCTATAGGAACAGGGATTTAGAGCAATGAGCGCTGTCACGCATTGCTCGGCGGAGTGTGAATTGGCACAATCACTTTGGAAAATGATTTGGTAGTACTTTACAAGCTGAGTACTGACACGCATACTGGTTGAATGTTGAATGTTCAGAGTTACATCCTTCTCTTTGGCACCACTAGCACATAAAGATCTTTCTTCTTTTGGAGATTTTCCTACTGGACTGAGATGATTACTCTGTTTGCCCCCTGTGTTTTTCTCAGGGCAGAGTGGTCTTCTGTGATATAATATACCTAAGGTGACATGCTTTGTTAGACATGAATTAAATGTTCCTTTAGAGCTTGAATGTTCAGAGTTACATCCTTCTCTTTGGCACCACTAGCACATAAAGATCTTTCTTCTTTTGGAGATTTTCCTACTGGACTGAGATGATTACTCTGTTTGCCCCCTGTGTTTTTCTCAGGGCAGAGTGGTCTTCTGTGATATAATATACCTAAGGTGACATGCTTTGTTAGACATGAATTAAATGTTCCTTTAGAGCTGACCATCCTCAGTGGAGGAAAGATAGCCTCTTTAATAAATGGTGTTGGAAAAACTGGATGTCAACCTACCACAGATTAAAATTAGACCCTTATCTTTCGCCATGCACTAAATTAAAATCCAAATGGATTAAAGATCTAAATATTAAAACAGAAACATTAAACTTGCTGGAAGGTAAGTTAGGCAGAACTCTGGAAGACACTGGTATAGGAAAAGACTTTATGAACAAATCCTCAGTAGCACGGGAACTAGGACATAGAATCAACAACTGGGATCTCATCTTACTAAGAAGCTTCTGTACTTCAGAAGAAACCATCAGCAGAACTAAGAGACAATCTACAATGTGGGAAATAATTTTTACCAGCTGTTCCTCAGACAAAGGACTATTATCAAGGATATATAAAGAACTCAAAACAATCAGCCCCCCCAAATATAAAGATCCTATTCAAAAATGGGCATCCGAAATGAACAGACATTTCTCAGTCAAAGAAGTAAAAGCAGCAAGAAAACATTTGAAAAAATGTTCCACATCACTGGTCATTCGAGAGATGCAGATGAAAACAACACTGAGATTCCACCTCACCCCACAAAGAATGGCTGCAATCAAGAAATCACACAATAACAAATGTTGGCGGGGTTGTGGGGAGAAAGGAACCCTTCTCCATTGTGGGTGGGAGTGCAGACTGGTGCAACCACTATGGAAATCAATATGGAGATACCTCAAAGAGCTTGGACTGGAGGTTCCATTTGACCCAGCCATCCCTCTGCTGGGTATCTTTCCAAGAGAACTAAAAGAATCATATCACAGAGACGTATGTGCACCCATGTTTATAGTGGCACAGTTTGTAATAGCTAAATCTTGGAAACAGCCCATTTGCCCATTCATTGGAAACTAGATAAAGAAGTTGTGGTTTTTCTATAAAATGGAATATTAGCCATAAAGAACGAGAAAATAGATTCATTCATAGGAAAATGGATACATATTGAAGATATACTCCTAAGTGAAATAAATAAGTCACACATGTGTAAATACTGAATAGTTTCTTTGGTGTGAATGAACTGTAATAGTACATAAGATCCTAATGAGATAACTGACATTGTGAAATGGGAAGAAAAGGGCTAAAGGTGTAGGGAAGGTGGGATGGGTAGGGGAAGGGTAAAAAGGGAAAAGAAAAAAATGTGAGAAAATGAAAATATGGAAAGAAAGTGGTTGTAGATGGGGAGGGGAGGAGGAGGTGAAGGGAGGGCAAGGACAAGGGGAAAAAATGAGAATCAAGACTTGTCATGTAGAGGTATAAGAAACGTAGAGGTACATGATCCCAACAATGAATGTAACTGTACTGTATCCCTAAAATGTACCAATAAACTCAATTAAAGCTGGAAAAAAAATTAAAAAAAATAAATGTTCCTTTAAGTAGACAAAAGTACAAGTCCAGAAAAAAATGGGAAAAATTATCTGAAAGAAAGAAATCATCATTCCTCATAGCAGCTAACATTTTAGGCACATTTGTTGACCCGTAGGCCAGGATGGATGTTTGACTTTTAAAACTTATAAAATCTATACATGCGTATGGTCATTTGCAATATAAAAAGACATGAAATGCCCTTTCCTCATATAATTCCCCAAACATAATCATTATTTTTTGTGTACTAATACTGCTTTGTAAACCTGGATATTCTATTTTTTCTAAAGGATGATATGATAAATCAATCCACACTTTCCTTTTTTCTCATCCATTAATCAGGGGCTCTTGTCATCTTAGTGTGGACTAGGTCCAACTAGTCATTCTTAATGGCTTTGTTCTTGTCATGGTACAGATGGATCAGAATATTGTTAAACAGCCCAATGTGCATGCCCTCTTATGATGGGTCCAGTGTTTAAGCAATAATGAATAATGCCACAATAAACATTTTCACAGAACAATCGTCATGTACTTTCTTTTTTTAAAAAATTAAATTGAATTTATTGGTACATTCTAGGTAGACAGTACAGTTACATTCATTACCGGGATCTTGTACCTTTACATGCCAGGTCTTGGTTCTCATTTTTTCCCCTTGACCCCACCCTCCCTTCACCCCTTCCTCCCATTCCCCCCTTCAAACACTTTAATTCCATTTTTACGTTTTCTTATATTTTTTTCCTTTTCCCTTGTTCCCCTTTCCCTTTCCTTCTCACTGTCATCATATACTTTCCTTGTGGGTAATTTCCAAATAGCAGAAATATGGGTTTAAGGTTTAAAAAAAAAAACCCTAACATTAATTTTTCTCACTTTAATCGTAGGGCAGGAAACTTTGACAAATAACATGTGGACGTGCTCCCACTTCCTTTTTTCTGATTTACTAATTTCTTTTGCAGAAAAGCAGTTTCTCAGATGTGTGCCTTGAGGCTGGTGTGAGCAGTGTACTAACTATAAAATCAAGATCAAACCTGATATTCTTGGTGAAAGCTTCTCTTTTGGTCTCAACCACGGGTTGTTCCAGTCTTCATGTTGCTGTGGGCAACACTACTGGTCCTGGGTGAGTAGAGGGCTCCACATGGGCCTGGGTTGGGTTGGGCAATTTCTCTTTCCATCACAAGCCTGCCTCTTCCATGGGTCCCAGACTCCTCTGCTCAGAGTCTTTCCCACATAAGGAATCTACATTTTTCAGGCTTTAGTATATAGTTCAGGGATTCCTTTCTTGGGCCTGAAGACAGCGGTGGCAGCCAGGAAAGAAGTCTTCAAATTTACAAAGAAGGAAATCATAATGATCATAACAATTAAGGTTTTATTTATGTTTTTGTTCAATATATACTCAATTTATAAATATGTTGATTTGCCTCTTTTCCTCAATATTCACTTGTCAAACTGGCATCTTATCTCAGCTTTTATTAACCTCACTCTTCCATTGATCCATTATTTCAATAAACAAACATTTAATGAATGTCTTCTATTTGTCGTAGTTCTGAGGGATTAGTGAACAGAGGAGAAATCCCTGATTTCACAGGGCTTGCACTTTGAAAAGGGGAATGCAGTTTAAAAAACATAAACAAGTAAACAAATGAATAACTCTGATAATCTTAGGTAAACATTCTCCAGAAAATTTATTATCACCATTCCTCACCATGTGGTCTAAAAGGTTGCCTATCTTGTCTCACCCAAGGCTGCCCTCTGGCAGAGTGTCACTGAAGTTGACAATTCCAATTTTGTCACACTTCTTGAAATCTTTCCACGGCTTTTTAAAAATTGGGAGCTACTTACTTGTGCCCTGAATTCTTCTATAATTTCATTTTCTTCATGACTCCTTACATTTTTAGAGTCCCACAGTCCTTGAAGAGCAATGTCATATTTTAGTTTCTACGTCCTTCCTGCCTCGATTCCTTTCCCTATCATCTCTTGCCACACACAAATCCTACCCCACCCCCACCCCCGATAACTCCTATGCTCTTATTTGCAGTTTTTCAAGCTCCACTCATTTTAAGTACCTTCCATGGCTCCCTCTCTTCCCTCTCCAATACACACAAACATGCTGTACACTGAAGTGAGAGGCCCTTCCACCCTCAAGACAACCCATGTGTATTTCTGTTAGAGCACTGGGCATCATGTTCAAGTTATATTACTTAGCATCACGTTTCTGTTTCTCCCACCAGTCAACTTGTTGCTAGCAAATGCTATTTTTCATTCATCTTAGAAATCTAAGCACCGTGTCTTAGCATGTACAGACATTTGATAAATAATTGTTAACATTTTGTAAATGAATCTTTACATGAAAAATGAGGGATGGGGGAAACGTATCATCTTTGAAAAGCCAAAGAATCCCTGCTCTACACTCATGCCTGGCTCTGTATTTCCTTTGCAGCTCCTACCAGTGGACAATTTGGTGAGTTCTCCTTTATTTTGTTCTTCGGTGTCTCTAGATAAGAGCGTCTCCCTAATCTAAAATGTTTGTGCTGGTTACCTGAGGGTTCCTAGCATCTTCCATTTCCTTGCCGAGTTCAGAAGGGATGTGGAAGGGTACCCGATCTCTTGGCACTGCTCGAGAAGCAGGGTAGCTGCTGCATGGTCAACCTCCACCTTTCTGGGTGATGTGGTGAATACACAGACAGCTGCTGGCCTTTGCTAGGCCCCATATTTAATCCTCATGCAAAGGGACCCCACTTAGCCACATAGGATGTCTTCAACTCCGTGGTAAATATGCAGGACTCAGGATAGGTCCTCTGCATTCAGCAAGCTGGGAAAACTCGACTGAAAATATCACACTCTGGAGATGCCAATTTCCTAAAATTCCAGAAAATCTTCCAGGAAATGTGTGATGAGTAGAACATCTAATAACTTGGACCCATAAAGAGCAAGAATTCTCTGCAACCCTTCTTCTTGTCCGAACTCAGATGCCCCAACTGTACCCTTGTCCAGGTCATCTCTGGATTCTAGCAGAAGACTTGTTCATTTCTTGTTTTGCCACAATTAGATATGATTGGTTTTTTTCCTGGATATTTGAATCATCATCTATAAAAAGAAGTCATGAGGCAAGGTGATGTCTCATGCTTTCCTCAGTGCCAAAATCTTATGATGAATTCTTTTATTATTTTAGGAAAATGCAAAATTGTGATTTTACCACTGCCTGTGTGAATTCTTCTGAGTTTAGGAACAGGATTAGGTAGCAGGGGTCAGGGTGATTTTTTTCTCTAGAATTCACTTACACAACTGCTTAACTAAGCCTGAGCATGACAGTGAATGCTGTATATTCCTCCCCTGACAACACTTTGCTAATTGCCATCCCCAAGAGATCACTCTCCATGGGAGGAAGGAAGTGCTACCGGCTGACATGCAGCCTTAAGCCATGAGTGACCCTCTCTGGGGTCTCCTAGGGACTGTCCAGAGCCAGGTCTTCCCATATAGTCACAGAAACTCCCCAAGTGGGACCACAGCTACCTCTACCTCAGAGCCATTTCTCTCTTCTCAGCAACTGCACCCAAACCCGTGATCTCCCTTCATCCTCCATGGACCACGGTTTTCCAAGGAGAGACAGTGACTTTGACTTGCAATGGATTTCACTTCTATGCACCAAAGAAAACAAAATGGTACACTGGGAACTATAGGGGAAGAGTATTGAGAGAGACTTCAGGAAACATCCTAGAGGTTCGTGAAAATGGGAGGTATAGATGCCAGGCTGAAAACTCACCTCTTAGTGACCCTGTGCTCTTGACCTTTTCTGCAGGTGAGAAAGAGAATGAATTCATTAAATCTTTAAGAATTGTTTCAGTTCAATTTAGCTGTCTGTAGAGAAGATCAATGCTTACATATTCTTTAATGTTAAGGGTTGTTTTATAACATTTCTTTTGGTTTTTCGTCTCTGTATTTGAATCCTTATATTTGGAATCTGTCTTTAAATGATTGACTAAAGATCCTTAGGACTGGGCCAGGGATTTAGCTCAGTGATTTCACTGCCTGCCTCGCAAGCTCAAGGTCCCAAGTTCAATCCCCAGTACCTCCCCGACAAAAAAGATCGTTAGGACTTATTTAGAAATTGTACCGGAAGCATGCTACAGTTATCTAGAAAGAGGTGAATGCACTTGGGCCAGGAGAACAAATATTGTAAAAACAAAAAGGAAACACCATTGTAGTACAGAGGACACAGAGAAAGGAGGTAACTCTGGGAATGAAAATTTTTTGAAATGGGTTTAGTTCTTCCTCACTAAGGAAAATACAGTGGTACAGTGGATACAAAATATTAAAGGTAGGCAGAGGAAACACCCTGGAGGTCCGTCCACCAGGAGAATACAAATGCACCTTGAGTGACTGTGCATTTGAATTTTGCTGCATATCAGTAAAAAAAATAATAGAAATCACTTTTAAGAATCATTTTGGTCCATTTTTCTTTCTAACTGTCACCATTATTTCCTTCAGATGACTTGTAAGTGAACAATTTTAATCTCCACAGTATGGCTAGACAGACAAGCAGGTTAAAAAGTTTGGTGTAAAACCAGATAGGTGATAGAATCACCTTTGTAAATTTAAACATAAAAATTAAGAAAGTTTAGTCTAGATAAAACTCATTCAGGCACTGCAGAGTGACTTTGAGAAGTGTGTTGAAAAGGACATGCTTGTCATGTAATGGCTAACGTTGCGGGTGAGTCAAACACTACATTTCACTGTGTGGGGAGGAGGGAGGAGATGGAGCGGTGAAGCCAGAGGCTCTCCACTGAGCCACATCCCCCTTTTTTAAATTTTTGTTTTGAACATGGTCTTGCTCACTAAGTCACTAAGTTGCCCAGGATAGGCTCAAACTTTCAATTCTCCTACCGTAGCCCCTCAGAGTGCTGGAATTACTGGTTTGTGGCACCACACCCAGTTCACTACAATTTCTAGGGTGTGGATTAATGCTTCTAAACCTAGGATTCTTAAAATTTCATTTGAAACAGAAAGCCTTGGCAGCTTTTTAATCATACAGATGTTCAGGGCCTACCCTATATTTACTGAATTAAATCTGTGAAAGTAGCTCCCAAGAACTTGTATTTTACATGCTCCTCAGGTAAAGAAAAAAAAATTACATAGAGGCAGTCACATACCTGAACCTAGAAGAGAAAACTGGAAAAATACAGGTCAAAATAATGGGGTGTGAGATGATGTTTTTGTTTACATTTTTGCTTTCCAACTTTTCTCGAGGTACATGTGTTCATCTCAAAAACAAACAAACAAAAAAATGGAGTGATGATTTTAAAAAAATTCTCCCAATCTTTCTTGCACTAATTACTATAAACAAAAAGAGGAAACAATCAGATGAACAAATAACTAATTGCATGTTTCCTACAGCTCCACTGATCCTGCAAGCTCCACTTTCTGTGTTTGAAGGAGATTCTGTGGTTCTAAGGTGCCGGGCAAAGGAAAAAATTCAACCAGACAATGTGAAATTTTTTAAGAATGGTGAATTACTGGCACCACTTGATGAAAACACTGAGTTCAACATTCACCATGCAAGCCTGAGGGACAATGGACAATATCTTTGTACTGGAAATGAGAAAAATCGTAGCTACCATTTTTATTCTGAAAGCATCAGAATCCAAGTCCAAGGTAAAGCATTCGCTATTTTGTGAATGGGTTAGTGGAAATGAGGGTCCCTGAGGTGATAGAGGAAGAATAGAAAGACCAAGGTGGGCAGAGAAAGTGCAACAGTATATTAAACTGAAGCTTAAGAATCCAAGTGGCGCCACCACTACTCCCCTGCTTGTTGGCTTTTGGTGGGAAATGGTTGCCCCACAGCTCCACTTGCTGGTGCTGAGAAATAAATTGTGTTTTTCTCCAGAGCATTTCCAAGCCTCATTGCTCCGGGGACTGTTGTAATCCTTCTCTCTAGAGCTGTTTCCACGTCCTGAGCTGACTGCCAGCCTCTCTCAGACCAGAGATGAGAGCCACGTGACCCTGTCCTGTAAGACCCAGCTCCATCCGCAGAAGTCAAACGTTGGCCTTCAGTTCTGCTTCTTCAGAAACAACCAGGCCCTGGAGTCAGGCTGCAGCAACTCCCCGAGACTCCAGATTTCTGCCATGTGGAATGAATATTCAGGTTTCTACCAGTGCAAGGCAGGGACAGGGATTTCCGGTGTTTGGAAAGAAAGCCAGATATCCCAAATTCATAGGCAGAGTGAGTATCTGGGGCTTCTGAAATTTTCCAGAAACAGCGGGAACAGTTAAGCAGAATCATGTGTCAGGTTGGGCCACGTTCCCATGTAGAAAGTGGTTCTCATTCTGTAAGAATAGAAGCTACACAAGAGAAAACAACATAATTCCTAGAGTGAGCAAAATCAAAGAAAAAATAGTTGCTTTTTTTTTTTTTTTTTTTTTTTTTTTTTTTTTTGTACCAGGGATCGAACTCAGGACCTTATACTTGCAAGGCAGGCAGCAGCACCACTGAGCTAAATCCCCGGACCTGTTTTTTTTTTTAATCTTTTCATTGTTCTTAGATAAAATACTTTCTTTTCTCTCAGAAAGCTCTCTCCTCTGACACACTTTGGTTCCTGCTAGGCCAACAGGAACAAACTTGGTACCTCAGAAGAGCGCTCTGGCCTGAGTAGACTTGACTCAGCCCTATGAACAGACTTCTACATCTGTAGGTGCCTGAAGCAGACTATGTCAGGATAAGAAACCAAAGGACAAAACCTTGTGGAATAAACACTTCTAACCTGAGGTCCCTGGGGATGGTACTGTACCCCCTATCACTTTTTCCTAAATTTCTGACATTGTGTAGGTTCTCAAATATGACTATTAGCCAATAGCCGAATGTTTTCTCTCATCAAATTGGGTCTGTCTCTTGAGAAATCTGTTTGAGGATTAGGAAGGGACAGAGACTACAGTGCTCATTTTCCTGAGTAGGGAAGGAGTGAAAGAACATTTCCAATAAATTAACTCCTACCTTTAAGAAAAAAAATAGTTTTATAACCCTGTTTTTCTAAGCTGGCTAGTTTCCATTAATTTGTGCCGCAGTTCCAGGAAACAGATGTTCCCGAGGTCTTGGGTTTAAGGAAGAATGATTTGGAAGATAGAGAAGGTGCTATATTACAGTTACAACACAATAATTTATAGCATAGCCTTCGCCCTCAACATAACTTAAGGATCTTCAATCACAAGCCCTTCTCTTCCCCTGTTCAGTTATCTTCATTTGTTCTTCCAGGACCTGAGGATAGCTCAAAAGGCATTATCTTATGCTGGCATCATTACCCAAAACCAAAGCACCACAGATTGCAATAGCAGATTGCCTCTATTCCTACTGCTGACTCTCCTCAAGACCCTTAGGGAGTAGAGGGCCTCCCCAGCCAGACAGGGATCACAGACTCCCTCCTTCCAAGAGCAAGCCTAACTCCAACTTCCCATATGAGGTCGGCAGATTTTGCCCTTCATCCTGTGATCCTTCTCTGTCTTTCAGCAACGCACTGCCAAGATTCCCATACATGTCAATTTTATTTGATTAGGAGTTGCTGCCAAAGTCCAAATACCCGTGGACCCAGCCTCAGTGTCCGTCTTTGAAGGGCAGCAGCTGCTGCTTATCTGCTCAGTAGAAGGGGACCTAAAGCCTATCAATTTCTCCTGGTTTAAAAAAGTCGGGGAGAAGAAGAAAGTAATGGTATCCTCAGAAGCAAAATTCAACATCTTGGTAGTGCAAAGCAGTGACGCAGGGGAGTATAATTGCAAAACTGGATGGATTACCAGCAAGCCAGTGATCGTCAATGTGAAAGGTGTGTTCTTCCAGGCAATGGGTGTTTATATTGACTATTATTAATAATTCACCACTTTGAACAGGCTGCCAGGACTTAGTCAAAGACTAGCAGGAAAAAACTAAGGATAGAAAGGGCTGTGCAAACTCTTAGAAATGGAGTTTTGATTTGTTTTTGTTTCGGGGGGGTTCTGGGTTTTTTTTTTCTTTGTTTGTTTGTCAAGACAGGGTCTTGGTATGCAATACAGAATGGCCTTGCACTCACTATGTAGCTTAGGCTGGCCCTGAACTTGGGGTGATCATCCTGCCTCAGCCTCTCAAGTGCTGGGATTACGGGCTTCTGCCGCCATACCCAGCTGAAATGGGAATTTAGAAAACTGCTCAGTGATTAGAACTATGTCTAGCCCTTCATATTCACAAACTCCTCAGTTTAAGTGAAACAGGTCTTGAGAATAAAGCCAGAACCAAGGATATAAGGACCAGGACCATGATGTAGGACCATGTCTGTTTTGTTTTGTTTTTGTACCGGGGATCGAACTCAGGACCTTGCATTTGTGAGGCGGGCGGCAGCACCACTGAGCTAAATCCCCAGCAGGACCGTGTCTTTTGAGCCCCTTTAATTTAAGGAGCTGCAGGGCCCTCACTGACTACCTCTCTGTCTCTGAGTCCGAGTGACACGACATTAACTGAGCTCCAGGGCTACTGCAGCACAGTACTCCATGGAAGATGTGGAGTTTCTCGATGAGACCTCAGAAGCTCCTCCCCTAGTCCTTGCATCAGTTTCATCATAAGGCTGAACCTGGAGGAGCACAGGTCCCTAAAGTGGAACCTCCCTCAAGATTTCCTCACTCAAAGAGCATTCTAGGAATGATGTCTGAACCCAGACCATGGCCTTGGGACCCAGGCAGTAGGAGAAGCCACTATCCATTAGCAGGGAGCTCTGATCACTGGAAGTCACAGCCAGGATCAGGGTGTTCACTTCCTCCACAGGCCAGAGACTCCATTTACAGACACTGCCCTACTCTTGTTCTCACTTAGGTTTCACATGAATAGAGAGGATCAATCTGAGTGCAGGGAGAGGGACAGAGCAGAGGAGAGGGCCCTGGAAGAACACAAGCATTTGGAAGGGAAAGGGGATAAAAGCAGAACCCTGAGGCAGGTCCAAGCATAGGGAGTGACAAATACTCATAATGATGTGGAGGCAAGGGATGGTGATTTCATGATCATAGTTAGAGGGAAAGAGCAAGAGGCTGGTGCAGGAAGGGTGTGTGCCTGGTGCAAGCAACATAAGGGACATCTTCCTGAAAGTGTCATCTCTGCAAGAAAAAGGGACTCACGGAAGAAGAAATCTAGGAGGGCAAGAGCCCAAAGTCTGATGAAAAAGGAGCAGCCAGGGAAAGATCAGCAGGGAGGGCAGGAGAGATGGGAAGGGAAGCCTGGAGGTTGCTGGAAGCCTTGAGAGCCAGCAGAGGCTGGGGTCTGGGCATAGACACTGGCCACAGACTGAAATTTTTGCTAAGAGGCAGAAGTGACTGTGGACTCATTTTCTCTCACTCAGTCCCTGTGTCCCAGCCGGTGCTCAACTTCAGCCCTAGGAAAACCCACATCCTGGAGGGAGACCAGGTGAAATTCCACTGTGGTGTCAGGAGAGGATCTCCCCAAATCTTATACCAACTTTTTCGTGAAGATATACTTCTTCAAGAGACAAAAAGCAGTTTAAATTCAGCCAGCTTCTCTTCAAATGTATCACAGACTGGGAACTACTACTGCACAGTTAACAATGGCTTGGGCCCCAACCGCAGTAAGGCCCTGACGCTCTTTGTCGTAGGTAAGCCCTGGTTTCCTCACCCACCCATGCCTGGCTGCATCCTGGTATCCCTGCCATCATCAGAAATGTGATCCCTCCTTCCAGGTTCCTCTACTTCTTCCTCGGGGCAGCTAGCTCATTGTCCTCTCTACCCCCAGATTCATCCAAGCAGCCATCTATCTCTCTTGCTCCTTGAGTAGCCTGGGCACCATTCCACCCCTGGCTGTCTGCACAGCAGCTCTCTCTCTCCTCACCCAGCTTCTACAAGATCCAGTGCTTTTTATCTGTTCTCTTAACCTGTGGCTCTTCACATACCAGGTCTGCATTCACTGAGCTGTTCTAAGTGGAAAAAACAACAACAAAAAAAACCAGTCCCCAAATGGGGTTGGTGGCCCAAACCTGTCATCTCGGCACTCTGGGAAACTGAGGCAGGAGGATGACAAGTTCAATCCCAGCCTGAGAATCTTAAGAATTTAGTAAGACCCTGTTTCAAAATGAAAACACAAAATTGGACTGGGGATGTAGCTCAGTGCAGAGGCCTGTGTCCAATTCATGTGTGAATTGCAGTTCCCACAGACTGTCTCTGGTTCCATTAACATCAGGCATTTGACAGTAACTGTGGACCAAGCCACACAGGATACAAAGAGCTTTACAAGACTACCACTGCTTTGTGAATGTCCCTTTGTTAGACCTGATAAGCAAATGGCATATGGGAGGATAACAGGAGAGGAGCTGGAAGCAGGTAGGAAAGTTTGACCTTCACTTGTTTGTCTTCATCCCTTAAATGCAATTAAAGTAGTTGTCGAATAGTTAAGTTAAAAAGCTTTCAATTGAGACTTGGATGTCAGGTGTTTTTTTGTTTTGTTTTGTTTTTCCCAAAATCCAGCACTCTCACAGTACATGTACATGTTACAAAGGAGAAGACCACCGAATTTGGAGCGCAGGGAGACCCCACGTGGGAGGGACTAAGGAGCTGTGCTCCTCACATCTGGGGGCAAGGAACCTGGGAGAGAGTCATCACTAGTGGGTGCTCTTAGAAACGTTCTATACGGTGGCTCATGTGTCCCACTAACAATAATGCCTATGTGTGTTCTGAATGCCGGGCTGTACTAACACTTCAGACACATCAGACTGACCACATGGTCATGTCCTCCGAGTCTTTGAGGTCTAGTGCCAGATACACATGATTAATAGGACACACCCCAGCTAGAGGTACCTGGATGCCATAGAAGAAAATGAGAAGGCACGGTCGGGAGGTGGGAGATTTCCTGGGCGGAGAGTTCATGTGTGAATTTCATCCTAAGAGTGAACAAGAGCACTTCAAGAAAAGAGGGGAGGGAAGAATTGGGAAAAGAAGAAAGTGGTTGTGCTCCGGATAAAAGCATGCACCGGAGGATTGGGATGAAGGAAACATTCAAGGAGCGAGAAGGAGGATTGTTCATGTTGACTGCAACATAGAATCCAAGGTTGTGAGAGACAGGATGAGGAAGAAGGAGCAGGCAAGACGCACCTTGATGATCAAGGATTAGTCTTTATTCAGCTATATAGGATCCATGAGGAGTGTTAGCGCTCAGGAAAAGGGCTCCAGCTGTAGGAGGAAGAGTTGATTGTAATACAGCCAGTTTGGGAAGCAGCCGGAAGTCAAAGTGAGAATTTGAGGGAGTGCCCAGTCAAGTAGAACCGCCAAGATTGGCCCTGTTGGGGAGAAAGAGCACCACGAAGGAACCCAGCTGAGAAAAGGGACACTAGGAGACACTGCACCCCAGAAACCAGGGGAAACAAGTGCCTCATGCAAAAGATAGTGGCCAGTTGAGATGATGAATGCTATGAATCCAGCCACATGCGCTGAATGTAGCCACAAGCAGAACACAGACTATAATTAGCACACTAAGGTTTTGATTGGTGTCTCATCTCTTACTAGATATATGACTTGACCTCTCTGAACCTCAGCTTCCTCGCTGTGTAAAACAGGAGCACTACTGCCTACTTCATGGGATTATTTTAAAAAATAGTTTCAGTATACATGTATATAGCTATAAATTAATTAAATATGACCAGTATCCAAACACACACACATCAGATAGTTAAAAGTACTGTATAATCAGTATCTTTTTTTTTTTTTTTTTTTTTTTTTTTTTTTT